CCTAACCCTAAACCCTAAACCCTAAACCCTAAACCCTAAACCCTAAACCCTAAACCCTAAACCCTAAACCCTAAACCCTAAACCCTAAACCCTAAACCCTAAACCCTAAACCCTAAACCCTAAACCCTAAACCCTAAACCCTAAACCCTAAACCCTAAACCCTAAACCCTAAACCCTAAACCCTAAACCCTAAACCCTAAACCCTAAACCCTAAACCCTAAACCCTAAACCCTAAACCCTAAACCCTAAACCCTAAACCCTAAACCCTAAACCCTAAACCCTAAACCCTAAACCCTAAACCCTAAACCCTAAACCCTAAACCCTAAACCCTAAACCCTAAACCCTAAACCCTAAACCCTAAACCTTAAACCCTAAACCCTAAACCCTAAACCCTAAACCCTAAACCCTAAACCCTAAACCCTAAACCCTAAAAATTTTTATGAATCTTTTACTTGTATTGAATATTTATTGTAAAATTAATTTTGATATATTATGGTGATGTAATTTTTAAAGATTTTTGTGAATTTTAGGAATTGTGATTTCGTAAAATGATGTATTGTTGATTTATAAAGATTAACATAATATTGCGCAAAATTTATTAGGTTTATGTGTGTTGTATCGCTCATTTCTTTTCATAGAAAATGGGTTGTTATAATATTTTTGTGAAATCTCATTTAATTTTTATAATTATGTTAACTATGCTATATTTTGAATAAAGAACCATATGTATGAAAAGAGACATTTCTTCTTGATTTGTCTCTTTTTTTTTTTTTTTTTTTGTAAAAGTGTAAGCTTGAACTTAAACGCTGCGCTCTTTCTTTAATGGTCTTGATATATATATATATATATATATATATATTTTTTTTTTTTTTTTGTTCAAAACAAATTTGTTCCCCAAAGTGTAAAAAACATAAAAAAATAAAAAAAACTAAAAATATAAGCTGTAAGACCTTTGTCGGGCGTACTCTCCCTCTTGTCCGCCTATCAGTTGCCACTTCTCAAGCTTCCAGGCATAAGATAAAGCTATAAAGAAGTAAACAATGGAAAACAAAAGAATCGGCAGAGAGGTGGTGGTCTCGGCTCTGCAGTTCGCTTGCACCGATGATGTCTCCACTAATCTTGCCACTGCGGAGCGGTCTCATCTTATCTACTTTTTTTTATTTTCCTTTTTATAAATTTAGATGATCTTTCAGCGATTTCCTAATCAAATTAATGGCTAAAGAATCACTTATTTGAAAAATTTTTGTTGCATATTTCATCTAGACTTTACACTCGTGTTTCACTCTGCACAAAATTCAAATCTTTCTGTATTTTGGAACCTGAATTTCCGCTTTAGTGTCTCTACGTGATAATTCTGTGTTTTTCTTTATGAAGTCTTTTGGCATGGAAACTGTTATGAATTACGTGCTCTCTGTTTGCACTTTTTTTGTCCTCTGTTTTTCTTGAGTAATAACTGATTTCTTTCACAATTGAATACATCTGTAAGTAGAGAAATTGAAATCTGCTTGAGCTTTTTATTGTTACCTAATTAGGGATGGCAGTGGGGCACGCACAATCCTCTCAAAGCTGCCTCATATCCGGAACTATAAAAAAACCTTCTCCCATCTGTACCTCACGGGTAAAATTTATAGGCCACCACCTGGCCGGCTCGAAAAACTTCTACCGACACAGAAACTGCATTGTAGTCCCATTTATCCGTCCCGTCAGTTGGGAGGAAGCACATAACCAAGAGTTCGCCACTCCATTTTCGTCCCTATTCCCTTTAAAATAACTAAACTGCCACTAACATCCGACTGATTGCATGTTTTCCTCCCAGTTTCTCCCAGTCGATTAGACATCAGCTATGACATCTGTGTTTCCCTAAGATTCTTGTGCTAATGTAAATTGAGAAAATTGCAAGGTCATAGAAGAACTCCAAACAGCTTTGTCTGGTCTGGAATCTTCCCATTGTATTAGTTCGATAACTTTTTGAACTTAAACCATTAGTCCTGAGAAATTATAGTTCAAGTTATTGATAGCGTGTGTGTTGACCCCTGAGAAATTATAGTTCAAGTTATTGATAGCGTGTGTGTTGACCCCTTATGAAGAACAACAATTACATATTTTTCTAATGTGAAATTAGGGTACCCTAATAAATATCATAGTCACAAATCATAATCTAAAAGCACACGAGGTCTATGGTCTGCATTAATATGAAGTTATGAAGTTGACACGTGCTTTATACTTATACCCCAAACACAGACATATTTAACTCAGCAACTTTAACCCAGACTACTGCACCTCAAAAACTCAAATTCCAAATTATTAATTGTCTATGACTTGATCTCTCATATAGCTAGTAATCACATATCTTCCGATGTGAGATTAAGTACTACAATTATCCTTCTTTCAAGAATTCTATACTCTTACAGGATCAGTGTCCTTGACTTCTCATTTCTTCAATTTCTGTATTAATTGCTGGATTGATTATCTTCTGCCTATGACTGTTGGATTAAGTCTATTAACCAAGTATATACTAGGAACACTATCCTAGTTTTTGGGACCCATCACGATATGCGAGATAAGGCATCTGCAGCTATGTTCTCTTTTCGCTGCTCATTTGTTATTTAATACTGGAACTATAAGTTTGGTAAGCCACTTTTATGGCCTAGAATGATGACCAACAGGCACTTAAGGCTGTAAAGATTTATATGGATTTTAAAGTGTCTATCCTGCAGGTGATGGTTTCACTTCGCTGAATTTACCATGACCATAAGTTTTTTTGTGCACTGATGTTGTGGTTGCACTAGTATTGCTCCTAAACCTAGTTGTTAGCATGAGTTTCCTTAGTAGAAGTTTGGGAGTATTCTGACAATTCTTACATGGGGATCCATCAACTATCCGAACATTGTAATTTTTCTTGCAAGGGCTGTTTTTGCGAAACAATTTGACATCTCTCGTCATTATGATCAAATGCTCTTGATTCAACTATCCATGTGCAAGGGAGCCTTTTATTAGCATAAAGAGTAGTTGAATTATTGTATTTTTGGGTTAATATTCCAGTTCCAGAAGAAGAAGCAGGAGGCTGATGGAGGGAGTTATGATTGAAGAGTTTCTGTATTACCTATAACTGTTTTTACTAAAAGGACTATTCCAAAGAAAGTTACTGTTTTGTCCTCTGAGGTGGTGACAACATGAACCTGGTTTTCTTTGTCGCTATGTGAGCATTGAAGGCTTCCAATCAGTGTGTTACCATATACTTTTCAGCAGTTTTCACTCAGGTATCCTGGTTTTTGGCAATGGTCACACCAAGGACGCCTCCCTTTTTTTGGTTTTCATTGAAGTGGTTTGATAGATGTACTTGGATCACCAGGGCTGATCCCTCTAGAGTAGGAGGGGGACTTTGAGTTCCCATAATTACCTTTTTCCTGCTATATTCATGACGAGCTTCAAAGAAGGCTTCTCTAAGGCTTCGAAGAGGCTTGGTTCCCATCAGTCTTCCTCGAACTTCATCCAACTTCCTGCTAATGCCAAGCAGAAACTTAAACATTCTCTTTTGTCCCACTATCTTTTTGTACATATTTGTGTCTTCTGGACACTTCCAAGAGTATGCTTTGAACATGTCAAGGTGTTGTCAATGTCAGGTAAGAGTATTGAAGTATTAACATATAGGTTCCTTGGTGCAGGTCGTGTAGTATGGCTTCAGTCTCAAATAGTTCTTATGTATTTTCGTAGCTGGAGTATATCTTTCTGGCTGCGGCCCATATCTCCTTTGTTGTCCCGAAGAGGAGAAAGTTTTTTCATATTTCATTGTTTGTGGAATTGATTAACCATGACATAACCATGTGGTTTTAGGTCTTCCATACCGTGAACTTGGGACGGTTCTTTTCAGATGTGGCAGTTTCACCCGTGAAGTAATCATCCTTACCTTTCATACAGGTGTACATCGTCACTGTCGGAGACCACAGGAAGTAGTTGTGGCTATTAAGTTTGTGACTTGTGATAAGGATAGATGGTCTCTTCTGATCCTCCATGATTACTCGCAGCTGTTCCTACTTCTGGATTGGAGGTTACCTTGGACGACGAGACGTTCATGCCGTACTTGGTCATGGAGGGTTTTTGGGCTTTCAGAGATGACGGTTTCTAGAGGTGCCAAGTCTGATACCATATTATTTTCTGGACATTTTCTCAAAATTATTTTTATTCCTTGAAGAAGAAAATTACATAAACATATTGAGAGAAGACTACACCTAGAGACCCCAATTTTCCAGTATAAACTAGAAAGTCCAGAATAGAATTCAACTCTATTGTTGAATTCAACTGTAATACTGTAACTTCCTTACTGTTGAATTCAACTCTTTTTAAATCTATAAGCAAAAAACCATAGCAGTATACTTTTCTAATACAAAATTCCACAAAATTTTTCAGAAAAATAAACTTTAAATGGATAAGAAAAGTAAGGTGGAAAATTAAAACTTTTTTTTGAGAGAAAAGGATGAGAATGTATAAATGCAATGGTACCAAGGGGCCACCACCCATGTACAGCAGAGAATTTACAGATTTGTGAGAATATCTAGAATGACACCAAAATCATCAAAACTATCAAGATTGTGTTCTAAAACTATAAAAGCAAAATATTGTAACCATCTGTCCTTGATAGTATCAAAATCGATCTCTTTGTTTTCAAAGCATCAATTGTTTCTTTCCTTCCAAATATTCCAAAAATAGTTAAAGGTATGAGTTTGTGGTGTTTGTTTCTACATCGGAATCCTTCCCAAGCAGATAGCTCGTCAATAGCAGAACCGGACATTTTCCAGTGTATGCCCTGGAGATAAAAAAATCATAGACCAGAGTTTGTGTGAAACAGAACACCAAAGTAACAAGTGATTTCAAGATTCCAAGCTAGCCTTGCATAAATAACATCTTTTGGCTTAAACCACCCCACATTTCATGAGGTTGTCCAAAGTCAATATGTGCCCCATTGCAGCCTCCCACACAGAAAAGGATACTTTAGGTGGAGTGGGAGATTCCCAAATCAGCTTGTAGGGGAACACGAGCTCGGCAGAACCTTGTAGGTAGATGAAAAAGGATTTGACAGAGAACTCATTTCTTTTACCCAGATTTCCAAATCAGCATGCAAGGTAGAAAATTTATGAAAGAAATGAAATTAAAAAAGAAATGTTGAATGCACAGGCACTAGGGAAATTAGGGAAGGGCAGATAGCCGGAAGGGGCATGCATTTGAGATGATTGGTTGCAGGGCTGGAAGGGGGGATGTTGTCATCAAACTTCCATGCTGAGTTTTCTTTTCATGTTGGTTTGAAAATTACATATAATTAGAGAACAAAAAATTTCATGAAAGCCTTTTGATTTTTAATCAAACTAAACATGTTTTTTCTTTTATTTTGGTTCAAAAAAGGGAAAAGTTTGGTAGAACACAGAATATTTTCTCAAGCTAAATAAGCCCTTTGTGCTTGTGGCTCCTTTTGTTCCTCTGTCTCTTTCTTGGAAATACTTCTCTATCTGTATGTCTCTGTCTTTCCTCTTATCTGCTTGGCTGTGAAAGTATGCATTATTTTCGTGTGTAACTTCGTAACTATAATGAAAATAAACAGAGAAATGCAGTTGAATGTCCAATTTCTTCTTATAGCAAGGGGTTAGCTACCTGAGTTCCTGAGAAGCAAGTTTACTTTCGTTATGTTCCTTAATAGTTTGTTCTACTTTTAAGGATTCATTTTCTCCTTGCAACTTAAACAGGGTGTAATAATTGAAGGGTTTTAAGCTTTTTGATCAATGTTTATTTTATTTATTCATTTCTAAAAGTGGCACTATCTTTTGTAGGCTAGTCAGAGCTGCTCATGCAAAGGGTGCAAACATAATTCTTCTACAGGTGTATTCTCTTGAAAGTTAGGATATAGTGGCTCTTCCAAAAGCATGTCTTTAAAATTATTAGACCATATTATTATATATTTAGCAACCATATAGTATCTGTTTTTTTTTTCTCAAGATATTTGAGATATAAGCTGAAAGCTTTCTCCCATTTGCAAATGTTCATAACTTTATTAATATGGTAAATAGTAAAAACAAAGGGAAATTTTGATAGTTGGAACCCTGACTTACTGGAGAAGAAAACTGAAGAAGTTTATCTCTATTGTATCCATGATGAGTTGCTTTTACGCAAGCACCATATTTGGTATTGGGATGGAAATTGATAACGTTTGCACAGGATCTTCACACTATCTTATAGGTTGATTATAAGATGAGGACAGTCTAAAAGAGCTGTTCCTGTGCTGTTTTAGTTGAACATGCATTTAATGGATAAGTGCATATGGTATGATACATGAGTTCTGGTTGGACTAAATGGAGATTTGAATTGTAGATAAGGATAGTGATCTTTCTTCTTTCTATAAATAAAGTACATATGTCATGGATTTTGTTAAAGTTCGACAGAACCTATAAGAGGAAGCTAATATCAGATGAAGAAGCCCATATAAATTTTGAATAAGATCACTAGAGGGGGTTTTGGCTTGGAAGAGAAACATGAAAAAGTTGCTTGGAAACTACATAGAGTTTGATAAAGATGAAGAGCTATCATGGATGGTAACCTTGTTAAGTTGAAGATAAATTATGAACATCTGATGTAACATAGTAGAATAGGGTTCAGGGAAGATAGAATGGAGAAAAAAAATGCAATGCACAGGGAATTGGACTGATGATCTACAATCAGAGGGATAAAAAATACAACCAGAATCAGGGGTCTTATCAGTCATTCAATCATGAGAATATCTGTATGATTTTATTCATAAGTAGTTTGTCCTACAGTATCTTATCACCGTTGTATTTATAGTTTTTTTCTGCATATCTTATTAGGTCTAAAATATGAAATAGGAATGACAACTAAAAGTTCCTACTTAAGCACAAAATACTAAAGGCTACAGTATGATAAGGTATATATAGTCATAAATAAATAAGATGTAACGCCCAATAATTTTAAGATTTTATTATTATTATTATTAATTTTATTTTTATTTATTTTATTTAGTTTATTTTAATAAAAATAAAAATAACAATAATTGTAAAATTGGGTAAAAATATTATTTGGATTTAATTGAAATTAATTTTGGAAAAAAGGGGTGAAAATTAGGATTCTGGGGGTATTTTTGAAAAGAAAATCGGAAACCGGGGGTCAAAACGCAATTTAGAAAAATTGCGCCCCGTCAGCGCCACGTCAGCAACCACGTCAGCGGCCCAGTCAGCAGCCGTGGGACCTACCGCGTGGCAAGACCACGTCGACCCGGGAACGGGCCACGTGGGCGATCCGCGTGCGCGCGATCGGACGGCCCAGATCCCTACCCGCGCGCACGGACGGCCCAGATGACGCGTGCGCACGGACGACCCAGATCAAGCTTGCGCACGGACGGTCCAGATTAAATCAAAATGGACGGCTGAGATCAAAAGGCAAAAGGGTATAAATAGAACCCTCACACCTGACCACAAAAACCCTAGCCGCCTGCCCTCGCCGGAGAAGACGAACCACACACCGGAGACACCGGCCGCCGCCACCCGCCGCCGCACCGGGGAGATTTTCGACCGCCGATCGAGGTAAATTTCATACCTCTGACTCGTTTTTCCATGCTGATTTCCCCTGTGGCCAAATCGGAACCAAAATCCCAGCCAAACGGCCGGAAAACATGGCCGAAACCCAGCAGCGCCGCCGCGCCCCTCCTCGGTTTTTGCCTCCGATGAGGCCCTTCCCGGCCTCCGTTTGATACAATTTTTATATCACCGTGATCACCATTCTTTTCTCTACAGGTTGATCGGAGCCAAATCACCAAAACACGAACCTCGCGGAGAGCCGCCGCACCCGAGAGCACCGCCGCCGGTAAGCTTCGGTTTTTTGTAATTTTTTGGCCCCCCGAGGGCCCTAGGGTTGTTTTATCACAGAGACCGATGCAAGTGTGGTCGAATTCGGCCGGAAACGGCCGAAAACGGCCAACCCGAGGCGAATCGCCGCCGCAAGCGGCGGCGTCGTCGCCGGAGCACGGCGGAGCCGCCATGCCGGAATTGCGATATTGGCCGAAAGGAGCCCTGGGTCTAATTTGAAAATTTTTGGGACACGTGCAGGTAACAGTAGTGTGCTTCAGTTCCCCGAAAAAAATTCAGGAAAAATTAGGAACAGCCTGTAGGCGCACTGTGGAGTCGTATTCGGACCCCGAAACAAGTAAGGACCCCTCACCCTATTTCCTATCACGGTATTAAAGTTTAATAAATGATAAAAACAGTATTTCATGAATCAACAGATGTGTGAAATTGCTTAAGGTCGCTAATGGAGCCCGAGTCTGGTGTGTTGCCGGTTAGCTGTTGTTTGGCCTATTTTACAGTTTTAAATGCAGTATGAGGTCTGACGTTTTCATTTCATAGTTTCGTGTGCATATATTACTGTTTTATTGATTATGGGTTGAATGACTGAGAACCCGATGTTGTATGTTGTCTTGTTTGGCATAAATTACTGGTGTGCTTGTTTGTGTGTGAATTGATGATGCTGACTGAGGAAAAGGGGAATGAAAGGTTATGTAAACTGATAATTGTATAATGTGGTCAGTCTGACTAGATATCCTGGGAGATGGTGGACGGACCGGGTCCATAGGGAACCCTACCGGGATTGTGGTCTCTCATACCGGACGGGGTATGGAGACCTTATGTGTTTTGGCGCCCATACCGGACGGGGCATGGGGACGACCCGTTTCACCCTCATACCGGACGGGGTATTGAGGTTTATAGTTTTGGCGCCCATACCGGACGGGGAATGGGGACGGCCCTGGAATCTGATTACAAGTGTTAAGGGTTCATGGGTAGCGGGACCCCTATGGATTCCCATGGATACTAGTAGGCTGGTAAATGAGGAAAAATATGTTGTGTAATGATTGAATTGCAAAAGGCGTGATAAGTATTATGTTATACAGTTCATATGATTTCATGATGATGATAATGTTATTGTTTTCATATATTGTTTTATGAATTTCATCGAAATAAGTGGATAGTAAAGACTTTTATTATTGATAAAAGAATTTGTGGTAAATTATGCTCCATTGGTCTTTTTGTGTTTTCTACCCACCTTTACCTCCGTGACGGTGAGATAGTGTGATGTCTTTACTGGGCTAGTGTAGCTCATTCCTTATTTAATCATTTCAGATCAGGAAGACATTGTTCCCGAGCCCGTTCCGCAGGAAGACGGCGAAGGGGACGCCTGAAGACTCCGTAGTTATATTTATAATTTTTATTTTCGAATTTCTCTTTTACTTAATTTGTTCTTTTATACTTTGAGCACGTTTTTGGTTTTAGTGTAGAGGATGTTAATCATAATTTTTATTACGCTTCCGCATTTGACCTTTTTAATACACATATTTCATTTAAGAGTTACGGGGCCGTTACATAAGATATCTCTTTCTTTAGAGAAAAAGCACCAAAAGAGTGCCATCCATGTACAGAATATTTACAGTTTACTGAAGATGAAAAGATTAAAAGGTCAACCAAATCATTCCCATCAACCAGACGGCTACCATAGAACAAAATATGGAGTAGTCTAAACCCCTAATCTAGGGGACTGGCAAAAGAGGAAGAAGCATTTTCAAAAGCTCTCTTGTTCCTCTCTTTTCAGATGATCTAGAAGATGGCATGGGAGATGGGGTACAAAAATTCCTTCTAGACTTTGCACAGTACAACTGTTCGAAGCCCATAGTTCATCCTTAATTGAGTCACTAACAACTTAACTAAGGTTGAACATCTGGAGAGCAGAATTCATAGCCTTTTAGCTTTAAGACACCAAAGAAGAAGATAGCTAGGGGATTCGTTCTCCTTGTGGTATAAAAAACAACTGTTAACTTCTTCATCTCTTCATGAATTTTCAATCATTAAAATCCTTTCCCCTAGCTGCCTCCCAACTGAAAAATAAAAGCAATTCTGGTGCCACTTCTTACATATTTGTTTTCATAGAAAACAGTCCAAAATATTGTCCAAACAAGCATATTATTGTAATCAGATTTGACATAAAACCTTTCATCTTTAGATAGTTTCAAACAGGATTATCACTGGGATTGGATTGAACAAAGATAAATTCCATCTGAGCTGGAAAAGGATTCAAGTCGACCTCCTAGTTATTGAGATTTTGAAGGAGAGGAATGTTCCAATAACTTCCACCATTGTACATCTCAAAACATTGGCAATCTTACCTCCTTAGTTGGCCAGAAGCTAGAGAGTGAGTAGACTGAAAGGCCTCTTTCAAAGGTCTATCATCACATATTCGTCCAGCTCCTCTCAATCTACTTCCTGGAGCTAGAGCCATAAGCATCTCCACTTGGACCCAGAGACCATCCATCAGGCAATATATTAAACTTAGCCCTAATGCATTTCCACCAAAGAGAAAAAATGCATGAGAGCAGGCTATATAAGTTGGAGAGCTTAATTCAAATTTTATAAGGGCCTTATACCTAGGCCTCCTGTCCTTCAAAAGACACTTCACATGATTTCAAGTTATTGGATAGTACTTCTTACGTTCATCTGATTCGTCCAACTAAAAACAACATGGGATAGCCTCATACGCTTGGGAGTTTATCAGGAATGGGAAAGAGAGAGAACAAATAAGTGGGAGGAATTGAGAGGGTACATTTTGGAAGAGTCAGTCTACCCTCTTCATATCAATGTCTCCTTGTCCAGCCAACCAAACATTTCTAACCTTATAATAATAGGATCTAGCAAAGAAGCCTCTTGATATGGCACCTTACAAGACCAAGGATTTTAACGGAGAAAGCTGCTAATCTTGCATCCCCAAAATTGAGTATATTCATTACAGTTAAACCCTGTCCCCAATAGGCACCAATGCAATAATAAGATATCTTTCGTAATGCATAAAACTACAAAAGCTCATACTGCAATATCTAGCAATATTTGGAGACGTCTGTTCTTAGGTCTTCCTCTTCTACATCATTCTCTCCCAGATTTGCGAAAGACTAATCTTGGTTTTGAAATGAAGAAGTAGAAAGAAGGGGAAAGCTTGGGCGTACCCTCGATAAAATTGAATCCCATGAGGCATGGTATCTCTTTGAGAAAATAGAAATATTGCTAAAAGTCAGGATTCCAAAAGGAGTGTTGAATAATGTAAACATTCTAAAATACATAGAAGGAAGAATCAACAAACTTTTGTTATTATTAATAGCAGATAAAAACATTTTAGATGTAGTTTCCTCAAGTAGGACCTCTTTCTTCTTTGTGGAGTCCAATTCAACTAAGGTTTCATTGTTCTCAACTTGGGTGAGCACATACTACTAAATTAGGAAATCCATCAGTAGGTGACTAAATTTATTTAGGAGGAAAAATCTGTTGTAGTCTTTTTCCAAACTCATCTATCTTTTTTGCAGATTTCCTCATGAACTTATTGTCATCACTTGTATGGTTATTTGTAATGATATCATCTTGCTCAACCGCATTAGCTATCTACTATGTTCTCTACTTACGATCGGTAAGGACCCCGTTTTGACATGTAATTTACCAGAATCTTAACTTGGACAAAAGAAGTTAATTTGTTATATTTATGGTAAAAATTGAGAAGTAATAGTAATTTTACGAGAAGTAAAAATATGGGGAGAATCTGGAAATAGAGAAATATTAAGGGAAGAAATGAAAGCTCGAATGATTGTGAGGTAATTTTGAGAAAATTGAAAGATTGGGGGCAAAATATGAGTTCAAAGAAATAGTAAGAGTACAAAAATAAGTTAGGAAGAAGCAGAGAAGGATATGGAAGAGAGAGAAGAGAGGGAGTTGCGGAGAGAGAAAAAGAGAGACAGTGTCCGAAAGAGAGGTAGCCAAGAGAAGAGAGAGAAAAAAGAGAGATCTGAAGAGAGAAAGAAGAAGAAATTGGAAGAGAAAAGATAAATTTATTTGAGATTCATTTCCACAAAAATTACATGATTTGAGTTTAATTTACAAACTACTATTTATAGGCATCAACACTTCTTTATCTGAAAAGAAGAAAAGCCGGATGATGAAGATCTTTATCTGCATCGTCAAACCTGCCGGATGATGAAGAAAAGCCGCCTATTCAGGCGAGGGGCGTGTTGAGAGAGAAACTCTGAAACGCTTGGACTGGTTCACCGTGTGGAGAAGAAACAGTTCAGAACAGTTTGGTTTAGCCGAACCTGTTTTTTCTTTTTTGGATCACCTGCGGCTGATTTCACTGTTTCCTTTGTGCACTAATACTTGCATCAACACTTCTGATTTTTCTGGGACCTTGACGGGATCTAGTTATTGATTTTGGTCAATAGTATGAGTTTGTTAAGAGAGAATCGGACTATCCCTTGGGTACCCCGGAAAATTTTTGATAAATTTTTTCTGCATATTTTATTCAGATTATTATTATGTTTTTATGCAAGAAAACATAACTTCTGATTTTTTTAGAACAAGAAAACATAACTTCTTATAACAATAATAAATTCCTTTTAAGAAATAACTATTCTCGCATCCTAGAAACTACCTACACTCTTATCTCCTTGTCCTAGAAACAAACTTTACTCTCATTTCATTACTAGTTATATCATTAAATAAAACTACCTAACTAATTAAAATAATGACAATTTTGTTCTAGCGACCATGTGTCACTCATTCTAGC